TTTTATATAAATTATTGTTACATAATTATTTAATAAGTCGTATTATTTCAGTTTGCACGGAATTGATTAATGGAGCAAACAAACAAAAGCTGAAGGTTAAAGGCCCAGTTCGTATGCCTACAAAGATCTTAAGGATAACTACACGTAAAACACCTTGTGGTGAAGGATCAAAAACTTGGGATCGTTTTCAGATGCGTATACATAAGAGAGTTATTGATTTATATTCACCATCAGAAATTGTAAAACAGATTACAAGCATTTCTATCGAACCTGGTGTAGAAGTGGAAGTTACAATTGCAAATGAATAAGCAATTTGAATAAAACTGTATAAAGTTTTAATAAAAATGTAAAAATATATATGCTGTGTAAAATTTGTATATATTCTTATGAGATTAACTATATAAATGTTGCAATTAACATAAATCATAAACATACAACAAATTAAAATTTCTTAAAGAAAGTGTTACAAATGTATTGTAAATGTAAAAACAATTTTTTTATTAATTTAAACTTTATTAATTTGTTTATTTCATGAAGTCAATAGAAAATTATTTATAAATTATAATACAATGATTCTGGTGTATTTATTTAAAATATTCTGCATAATGTCCAGCAAGGCAGTAACATACTTGGAAAAGTATGATTGTAATTCAGGAATAATTGTCAGTTAATGAAAGGCTGGTGATTTATTAATTTATTCTATGTTTATTCCTCTTCTTGAGACTCGTTTCCGGGTTTTTTATCATCCTCGGTACCTTCACCACCACTAAATCCATCCATCCCTTCTACTTCTTCTTCATCATCATCACCAGCTACTTCAGCATTTTCAAGTTCAGCTCGTTCCATTTGCCTTGCTAATTCTGCCTCATCAGTTGCAGTAACAACTTTTGGCTATACATGTAAAAATATATATTTGCATATATAAAGTTAAAATATGTAAAAGTTTATAATAACAAGCATAATGTAACCTACAGTCATTGCAACATTAAATACACCTCCTAGTAATGTTATTTTATTTTGTATAGCATCAATAGCATCATTTAATGCTTTTAAACCATCTTGTTTTTCTGGTGTAGATGTTGTCATAACTAAAAAGATATTAATTGGTGTTTAGTGATTTATTTCAGTATTAAAATGAAAGATTTACAAAAATAGAAATAAAGATATACCATATAATGGAGGTGCAATCAAATTAATTTTAATCGGAAGTTCATCAGTAGAAAGTGCTAAACCAGCTTTTAAGGCATCTTTCACTGCATCAATCCCTTCATAACCATAACAAGCTACTTCTACATCTGCTCTAATTTTAACTGCTTGAGAAGTTAATTTTCGCTTAATATTATTTAATAGGACTTCCTTCGTATATTCACCAAGACCACATTCTGCTAAAATAGATGGATCCCTAAAGTAACAATGTTTTAACAATCATTATCATGCAAATACACTAACATTTTTTTCATATTTTTGTGTTTGTACTTACAAAACTGACTGTTTAAAGAAATCATATGCAGAAGCCTTTTGTTTCTTATATTTTTCTTCAAAATGCCATGCTGTTTTTTGGTATAATTCCTCCAGTTGATCATCACTATCATAATGTAATAATTCTGCAACATGTCTTAGAATTGAGTTAACAGCTTTTGCTTTTGCATATCTCTCTGTACATTTTTCTACATCTTCAGCTGATACACG